GCTGGATCCTGAGCTCCTCCAGCACGACGGAGCATTGCCGTCTCTGCCGAGGGAGGGAGCAGAGATCAGTATCACGACCCGACAGTTTTACCTGACCTCAGGAACGCCGAGCGGGGTGACGGGCTGTGTTTACCCACCCGTTTGGGCATGTTTACAACCGAGGCACGGAGCCAACTCCAAGCTGGCACAACTACCAGCTGTTCCCAAGGGCTGCAGCAGCACAGCTGCTCCGCTCCAGCTGCCCAGCATCTTAGCTGGAAAAGCTGAAGTTTTCCAGGCTGTCCCCTCTTAAGTGACGCAGTTTCCCAGGCCGAGGGACAGGCAGGGACTGGGCTCCGCTCCCCTGCGGCCGCCAGCAGCCCGGGGTTGGCTTCAGGCCACCATTGCCACCCACTGCTCCACTCAACATCTGGCAAGACCCAGGGCTTTGCCCGGAGCTCTAATCCTCACAGGCTTCCCCTCCTCTTTCCTCCCAACAGGATTTCTGCTCTGAAAGCTCCGGGTTTCCTGCTCCTGGCTGGGGAAGGGGAGGGACTCCTGGCCTTGGGGCCTCACAAGCTGAGCTCTGCCTCCTGGGAGGAGGAGGACGGGCTCCATGTCCTGGTTCAGGGCTCGTCCAGAAGAACGGACACCATCGTTCGTCCTCACCGGAGGCGAATGAAGGACCAGACTTCGGGGTGCCGAGACAGGAAGGGGGGATTTAGTCTCTGGAGCAAATGAAGAGACGATTCCTCTTCGCAATCGAGTGTTTCGGGGAGGATTTTCCAGCATGCTGCAGCAGGACGGTAAGGAAAAGTTTCAGGTTCATCAACCCCGACTGCTCCCTGGCGGCGGGCCCCTGCCGCTGCCAGAGGCACGGGACGGGTGAGAGGATGGAAAGGAGATAAGCAGAGAAGGATGGGGAAGGGAGAGCTTCCCAGGAGAGCTCCGAGATGGATACAGACAGACAGTGGCCCCCCCGACTTCTGGCACAACCTATCCGCTCCAAAGCGGCAGCGAGGTGCTTCTCGCTGAAAATGCCTTAAAGCTCAAGTGGTCACAGCAATTTGAGGCGGGGGGGAGGAGAAAAAAAAGATGTTAACCTGTTTGCAGGCAGCGACAACGTGCAACTTAGCATCTGTTGGCAAAAAGGTCGGGAAAAGCTGCACCCGCCCTCAAAAGCTTTTGCGAGTTGAACACGGAATACTGGTGCCTCCCTCGGGAACAGCAAAGCAGCCGAAGGGTCGAGGGCAGCGATGCTTCCACAGGAGCAGGTTTTGCAGGTCAATTGAAACAGCAGCTGAGTGAGATATTCATGTGTCCTGAAATCCTCATTTCCAGGGAAAAGGGAGGAGGAAGGGCCAGAGGCTCCAGCAGCCGGGAAAAGCCCAGGCACCGACGGCACGGACGGAGGGTGGGCGTGTGGAGTGGTGTTCCACTTCTTCTTGGTAAGCAGAGAGCAAACTCACCCAAACCTCCTGAGGCCGGGGCAGGTGGAAACTCTCCAGTCTCACTCAGATGGGAGATGAGGATGGGACAGGCTGATCCCACCGAGCTAAGGGCAAAACCCCGCGGTGCTTTGCGGTACCACCCATTTCCCTGCAGGCTGAGCAAAGACACACGTGAAATGCCACCTGAAAACATCTCAGCTGATGTAAAGGAAGGTGCCCAACCTGCAGCCCAGGGCCAAAAGGCAGCTGGTGATGCTAAGATGACTCTTCCCTACTCATCCACACCATCACTGGGGTGTCAAACCCCCAAAGGGATGTCTTGTACCTTCAGGATGGGCGAGATCCCGCCGTGGGGCAGCAGAGGATCGGATCCAAGATGGGTCCCCAGGGACCAACAGCAGGACCAGCACAGGGTGCAGACAGCACACACGCTCGGGTCTGCTCTCCCAGGAGGACCAGGCATCTCAACACCACTTAAAGGCACTAATTCTCTGTGCTACAGGCTTTAATAGCACCCACCATCTTCCCATCAGTGAGGAAGACAACGCCATCCCCCAGCTAGGAGAGCTTTCCCCACTTCTGCTCCATCCAAAGTAACTCGCTGCCAATCATTAACCACCTGTCTCCGGGGACGAGGGAGGGAGTTAAAATTAAGGACACAAACTGTCCTTTGCCCCATGGCAGGACAACCCTGGGAAACCATTCCAGCAATGTCCAGCCCCACTCCACACCTCACCAACTGCTAGTGACCTTCACTAGTGCTGAGACCCATTTAGATTATCTTTTAGTATTAAAAAAAAACAGCTAACAGAGGAAAAAAAAACAACAGAACAAACCAAAAACCCTGCAAGAGTCCAGCTCTAGTGTGATTTTGTTGCTTTTCTTTGGAAAAGCCAGTTTGCTCAGAAGGTTTTTTGAGGGTCTGTTAATAAACCGCAGCGTGGCCACCACCGGCCCACCCGGTCGATGTTCCCCAACACACGCTACACCACGTGTCCCAAGTTTGTTTTTCCCCAAACTCAACAAATTATCCAAGAAGGAAAAGCATTCCCTCCCCGCCTGACCCCCAGTGGCATCTCACCTCCACCTGCTTCCGATTTAGGTCAACGTACTCGTGATGGGGATGCTCAAGACCTTTGGGATTTTTTTCGTGGCTTTCCGAGAGGAGGTGGGGGGCTCCTCCGAGCAAGTCAGCTGGATCGGCTCCATCATGTCTTCCCTGCGCTTCTTAGGAGGTGAGCTGGTATCCGTAAGGACTGGGGCAGCGCCTCAACCTCAAGCCCATTTTCTTTCATATAAGGGGCCCTGCAGATGCTCTGCGGATCCGATGTCCATCACAGACGGACACGGCTGGTACCCACGTGTGCTTAGCAGGAGCATGGTCCAAGGATGGGGATCATGTGGATCAGGATATCTCACTCCAGCAGGTTTGTTGGAGTCCCCAACACAAGAAGGACATGGAGCTGCTGGAGCGGGTCCAGAGGCAGCCCCAGAGATGCTCTGAGGGCTGGAGC